TCTGCTTCCCCGATGATACTGTGGCACTTCCCCGCCATGAGGGTGCCAGCTGTATCTCCTGGACCATTCGTCTCCAGGTCCTACGACCATCTAGCACATTTGCTGACGGCATTGGCCTCTTGCCCTGTCTTCTGGCCTTTGATCCTTCCCTTCTGTCTTGCTAGGTTAGCTTTGTTAATCTTGCTTTTTTCAAATTCCCTTCCGTGGAGTCTCCATTTCTGGAAGGATGAAGGTCCAGCTCTTCAGACGATGCCTTTCGCAGTTGGCCCGAACCTGCCTTCCTGGTTGTCTCTCGTTTCTGAGCACGAATCTTCCAGTGAGATCTGTTTACTGTCCTTTGAATAGGCCTTGACCTCTCCTGCATCGTGGTCAGCCATTTTCCCCGATCGGACCACTCTCCCTGCCCCTCCCTTTCTTCCTCGCAGTCAGACTCCACCTGGACTGAACAACTCTTTACTAGCCTATTGTCTACCCCTCTAAATTCCTATGGCAACTGTGCATTTTGTTCATGAATCATTCATTCATGGTTATCATGCATTTCATTCAGTCAGTCAGCGTGTATTAATGAGTATCTACTGCGGGCCAGACATCGTTCTGGATGCTGGGGATGCGCACTGAACAGAGAGACACCCTTTCCTCCCTCGTGCTCAGAAAAACAATAAATGAGAGACAGAAGTGAAAGTAGAGGGTAGGTCAGATGGTGATAAGTGCAAGGAGAAAAAGCATAGGGGAAGTTGGGGGTTTGGAGCAGAGGTAGAGAAGGCTTCCCTGAGAAGCTAACATCCGGGTAAGAAGGGAGGGATGTCCGGAGCCTCGCGAGGATCTGAAAGAACATTCCAGGCAAAGGAAACAGCAAATGAGATGGGCCTGTGCCTGGTATGCATGTTCCAGGAACACTGAGGAGTGGAGTGAGTGAGGAGAGCCACGTAGCGTGAGGTCAGCGAGACGATGGCAGGTAGTCACCGGGGTCCGTGGGCCGGACAGAGCTGTGGCTTTTACCCCGAGAGACGGGAAAGCCAGTGGAGACCATTAATCTGAGGAGGGGCGGCCTGGCAGATGCTTTCCGACGATCACCCTGGTTGCTGAGGCGGGAACAGGCTTCAGGGAGGTGCTCTTGCCCTAAGTGAGGTGGGGGGATGATGGAACAGAGTGTGAGAAGTGGTTGAACTCAGGATGGTTCTAAAGACAGACTGGAAGTCTTTGCTGGTGGCTCAGATACGACACGGGAAAGAAGGAGCGGCTTCAAGGGGGCTGAAGCTGTGTCTGCACCTCTGGGACAGGAGAGCTGTGCGGCGTGAAACCTCAGAACCTCTGTGCTTTGGACAGCAGTTTATTTCCCCGCACGAAATCCCCACTGTGTCGGCCGTGGCTCCCTTCCACGCTGTCCTCCTCCCACATCCGCCTGGGCTGACGGAGCCGCCTCTGCCTGACTGTTGACAGTCACTGTGGCGGCGGGCAGAGGCCAGGGCACGCTGTTTCTGGAAGCTTCCACCCAGAATGACACGTTTCACTCCTGCTTCTGCTTCATTGCTGGAAGCAGATCCTACAGCTATGTCTGGGTTCAGCAGGACAGGGTTACGGAACCCTCGGGAGGGCACCAAATACTGGGGAACGGTGATCCAGTCTTCTGCTGGTGGCACCGAGGCGTTGGGCCGGGGCAACTCAAATAACAAAGATGGGAAGACGGGGAGGAGCAGAGCTCAGTTGGGACATGGGCTGGAGGTGGAGACATCGGAGCAGCTGGGGAGATTGGGCTGTGGGAGGGTCAGGGCTACAGAAATGAATTTCAGAGTCGCCAACAGGAGGCTGGATTGGAGCTGGGGTGGGTGGGGGGAGCACAGAGAAACGGCAAGTCTGGCAACTGAGTCCTTAGGTGTTCCAGTATTTGGTTTCTTTTCTTTTTTCTTTCCTTTTTTTCTTTTCCTCCCTCCCCCCTTCCTTCCTTCCTTCCTTCCTTCCTTCCTTCCTTCCTTCCTCCCTTCCTCCCTTCCTCCCTCCCTCCCTCCCTCCCTCCCTCCCTCCCTCCTTTTTTCTTTTCTGTTTTATTTTCCTTTCTCTTTTCTTTTCTTTCTAGACAGAGACAACACGAGGAGGGGAGGGGCAGAGAAAGAGAGGGAGAGGAATCCCAAGCGGGCTCCAGCTCAGTGCAGAGCCCAGCACAGGGCTTGAACCCACAAACCGTGAGATCATGACCTGAGCCGAAATCAAAAGTCAGACGCTTAACTGAGTGAGCTGCCCAGACGCCCCTGGGATCTTGTTCCTCACGTTCCATGTTTGCTGAGCTGCTGTGTCAAATATTTGCTTATTGACTGATAACGAAAATACGGGTGTGCGTTATGCTTTCCTCTAGATTGTTTTGTCTGTTTAGGTACTGCGCCTGGGCCGTGGGAAGTTGTGCTTCTCCCACAGGCTTGCTGCGCGGCCTCTGCTAGTCCCCCCCGCGGCTGGGCTGCGGTCCTTGTGGAGTATGGCCACCGGCAGCGGTGTCCCTGGGCCCCTGTGTGTATCAGGTGCTCTCCTTGGGGTCCTCTCGATGGAAGCGAGAGCCTCCAGTCTTCCATTAATGTGCTCAGTAACTCCTGCTTTCAGAACAGTTGTGTAATTTCTCTTTCCAGGGGTTACCAAGGAGCTGCTCACTTCAGGGCGACCTTACGATATTTGGCAACATTGGGTTTTATCGGGGGCACTTTTGGCTTCATTTTGGCTCAACTATGTTGAGTCTTTGACCCTTGACATCGAATTCCACTGAAGCTGGGGTATTATATTCAATTTGAGCTCCTAAAGGTCTTTTCATGTGCCACAAAGCCAGGGTTCATTTTCTGATTCACGTACCTATAGATATGGCTTTACGCTCACCTAATGACAAAATCCACTTAACTCTTGAGACCATGTGCCAGCCTGATACATTTTAGGTGGTGACGACGATGATCTTTGGACCATGCGGTTTTTCTGAATATTTACCTTGGTTTTAGAGCTTTCACTTTGATGGCAAATATATTTATACCGACTTTCAACCCTTCTGTTTTCTTGGATTCTTAATTCAGATTTTTTTATTAAACAATTTTTTTTGACGTTTATTTATTTTTGAGAGAAACATGGAGCGTGAGCAGGGGAGGGGCAGAGAGAGGGAGACACAGAATCCGGAGCAGGATCCAGGCTCTGAGCTGTGAGCACAGAGCCCGACACGGGGCTCGAGCTCATGGACCTGAGCGAGATCACGACCTGAGCCTAAGTCGGATGCTTCACCGACTGAGCCACCCGGGTCCTCCCCTCCAATGTTTTTTTCTTAATGCTGTTGGTATCATTTCTTCACTGTCTTCCTTATCGTTTCTTCTTTGTTGATGTGTATCAGTTACCCCTTGCTGTGTAACGAACCGCCCCCAAACTTAGTAGTTGTGCTTAAAGCAAAAAAATCATGTGTTTGCTCCCGATTCTATGATTTGGGCAGGGTGGGGAAGGATGGATGCGTGACCTGTCCTTTGCCCTCAGGGCCCTCGCGGTCTAGCCTTGGAGACCGACCACAACCAAGATGGGGTCGTAGTAGACGCAGCCCGCGTTCACAAAGCACTTCTGCTTGGTCTTTTAGGGATTCTCAGAGCGTGCCGATTCGATCACCTGGTATCATCATGATGCGTGTCTCCTCTCCTCTAGGGGATATGCGACAAAGTATGTTGTGGAGGGTCTGGAACCACGCACGCTGTACAGATTTCGGCTGAAGGTCACCAGCCCCTCTGGAGAATATGAGTACAGCCCGGTGGTCTCGGTATCTACGACCAGTGAGTACACGCACGCGGAACTCATTTACCTAAAAGTCAGCGAAGACGATAAGCGGTGCGGAGGTAAAAAGATCCTGCCTGTTGCCCGGCCTTCCTGGAAACAGACACGGGTCCACTTTTGAACACCGGGACGACATTGTTTACGGGCCAGGCCTGGCCGGCGCGTTGAGGGAAGTCGGCTTGTGCTTTAACAAACGGGGAGAACCGTGCTGGGGCCGGCACCGCCCTGTGAGTGCACATTCAGTACCAAAGGGTGGAGTCCCCTGTCTTGGGAAATGGGCCGCAGGGGTGTGGGCTGAGAAACAGGCTGCCTGTTTGGGTGTCTTCAGCGGAGGAGGTCTCCAAAGCGGTTTGTCCGTTTTGGACAATTTCAGTTCTACGTCTTGACACACACATCTGATTTCCGGCGATGCCGTGAGTGAGGAAGACTGAAGAGCGTGGCTTCCACAGGTGGGGCGGGTTGTGCCGCCTCTGACCAGCGCGTCCTTTCCCCAGGTCACGTTTGAGGGTGTGAATATTTTCTGTGATCGGTGATTTTTTTTATTATGAATGAATGAGTGAATGAATGATTTTTTAAATTTATTTTGAGAGAGAGCGAGTGGGGGAGGGGAAGAGTGAGAGGGAGGGAAAGAATCCCAAGCGGGCTCTGCTCTGTTAGCGCAGAGCCCCCCACGGGGCCCCAACTCACAAACCACGAGATCGTGACCTGAGCCGAAGTCAAGGGTCGGAGGCTTAACCGACTGAGCCACCCAGGCGCCCCTCTGTGATTGCCACTTTAAAACGTTTTAAAAATGTGTGTGTGGTAAAGATGAAAATGGTCAGGAATGTTCTTGGTGGCCTGCTCGCTGAAAACACACATCTTTTTTGAGTTGCACAAAGAAAATCTTCCTCTTGTGAGTAAAAGTAATTTAAATGTATTTACTTTGAGAGAGAGAGCATGAGCAGGGAGGGGCAGAGAGAGAGGAAGAGAGAGAGAGAGAGAGAGAGAGAGAGAGAGAGAGAGAGAGAGAATGAACCCCAAGCAGGCTCCATGCTGTCAGCACAGAGCCTGATGTGGGGCTTGAACTCATAGGCTGGTGGGATCATGACCTGAACTGAAATCAAGAGTCAGATGCTTAACTGACCCACCCAGGTGCCCCTCGTAAAAGTTACTTTAAAGTCTTAGTGAATATTGCATTTGGCATGTTTGTGTACACGCACACACACGTACGTATATATTATATATATATATGATTCAGGTTGTGAGCCTCTAAGATCTTCATTTGCAAACAAGGCACTGGGGGACTAGGGTCTTAGCTTGGCAAACTGAGAATTTAGTGACAGCCGTGAGTCCTGTACCTCCCCCAAGGTGCTCCGCTCACTGAGAAGGCCCAGAATTTCAGAGGAGACTTTGGAAGGGAAATGGTCAGTTACAGAGACACAGGTCCGGAAAGAGGGCTCGTCCTTAATGTGGTGGCCACGGAAGCATTTTCTTCATGTGGGGGTCAGGTTGCTCCTGGAGCTTTTAGGGGAAAGAAAGGAGGCAGAGCGTGGCCTCTGCTGTGTTGAGGGCAGGCACGGGGAAGGGAGGAAGGTTAGCCAAGGAACCTGCTGTTTGAATAGAGTCTCTGTAGGGGATGCCGGGCCAGCATGCTCCCCGCCGTCCTCTCTCCCCAGCCGCCCACAGGCCACCCGCACGCCCCACTGCCTTTGCCCCTTCTCTCTGGAGCGTTCCCGCCTTGGAGCCCCCCGTTCCTGGCACCCCTTCCCCTCCTGCCTGCTGAGCCCGCTCCACAGGTAGAGCCTGGGTGGTTCCTCGTGCTCTCCACCGTCTGCCATGAGCCTCCCTCAGCACACAGCTTCATCTCACCGCTTCTGATAACACTCTGCATCTTATTTTATGTATTTTTCATCCTCTTTGTCTCCCACCAACTTGTGTGCTTCTGAAAGGAGGCTGGGATGGGACGGTCATCTAGCATGTAGAGGCCCATCTCGCATAGTGAATTTTTTTTAAATGTTTTTATTTATTTTTGAGACAGAGAAAGACAGAGCGTGAGCAGGGGAGGGGCAGAGAGAGAGGGAGACACAGAATTTGAAACAGGCCCCAGGCTCCGAGCCGTCAGCACAGAGCCCGACGCGGGGCTCGAACTCATGGACCGCGAGATCATGACCCAAGCTGAAGTTGGACGCTTAACCGACTGAGCCACCCAGGTGCCCCCCATCTAGCATATTAAAGTACCATCTGGAATCTTAGAAGTCCTGTCTACCCATCCAGCATGTAGAAGTCCACAACAAATGGGTGGATGGGCGGTGGGTAGAAAGGCCCAGGGGCAGGATTAGGATGAGGAGAAACACTAATTGTCTCAGTTCACCCTCGCATCTCTCGGGAGATGGGCGTGTTTCCCCCCTGGCTGGGGCGAGTCCACGTGAACCGGCAAGGTGAGGGTGAACAGGACGCAGGACCCGCCACGGTGAACCTCGGGTGGCACTGGCATCTTTCGTCATATCGCGTCAGGGCAGGGGCTTCTGGGCCTTGTGGCCAGAATTGACGGGGTGTTTGGGTACCATTGGGAGCTCTTTAGGAAGGGCAGAAACCTTAGTCCCTTTCAGCTGACGGGGATTATGCCGCCTTCTTGCCAAGCTGGCTCCCGAGAGGCGGCCACGGAGAGCTGGTCCAGTAGTCCAGGGCATCTGTCACTGCGGTCCATGGCTTCCATGGGTCATTAGACAAGACCTGCTGCGGGGACCAGGCGTGATGGAGATGTGGTTCCTGGTGATGACCGGGGTACTGGGGCTTGCGGAGCATTTCTCTGTCAGGTCACAGCGCAGTGCTGCAGCCCAGACGCGGCCTCGGGGGCTCTCCTGGGTGACGAGGGTCAGGTACCGTCTTCCTGCTGGCTGCTGCTCTCCTGTACTATTATTATATTTCTAACACCCACAGCAGACTCCCTCCAGGAGGGCAGATCATGCTAAACGAAGAATTACAAATGTGAATATTCTACAAAACCAGTAAAAATGCTTCTGTGGGCTGATCATTTGCATTTAGTTTGAAAGTGTTTTAATGAGTCCCAAAAGCATGTACTTTGTTTGAATAAAGGATGCTCAGCTTTTTTTTTTTTTTTTTGAATTCCAGGTAAAGTACACGAGACTCTTGCTTAAATGAGGCATGCAATTTTAATCAGTTGGGCCCTTAAAAAGAGAAAAACAGCTGCTGCTTGCTAATTGGCAAATATCTCCTCCAATGAGCTCATCATTTATTCACTGCTTCTAATAGAGACTTAAATTCCACCAAGAAAGGTGTTCCCCCGTTGTGATATCTGCTGGCATATGTGTGGCCGAATGACCCTTTTACAGAACAGGGCGATGGCTTTCTGCCTTCTCCTCCTGGGTGGCCCCTCATGTGGTCCTGCCTGATGAGTTCCGTCCAGCGTAGGTGAGCATTCCCGGACATCCTCCCCACGGGCAGTATCCATTCTGTGTCTGTGTGTTTGTCATTGCAACACTCAGGGTAAACATTAGCTAAACAAGCCCACAGAGGCAAAGCCTGCCTTCTTTATTTTTTTTTTTTTAATTTTTTTTTTCAACGTTTATTTATTTTTAGAGAAGAGAGGAGACAGAGCATACATGAGCCGGGGAGGGCAGAGAGGAGACACAGAATGGGAGAGGCAGCAGGCTCCCAGGCTCCGGGCCCATCAGCCCAGAAACTGACAGGGAGACTCTGTGGACTGCTTGAATCTCACTTGTCCCAGTGGACTGGCTTAACAACACCTGCATAAGCCATGAAAGCCCCAAAAGCCTGCCTTCTTTATAGTCAATTGCACTTGACTGATGGCAGTCCCTTGGGCCAGGCCCACAATGTCTTAAAGGATTCAAGGGTAGGAGGAGTAGAACATTTGGCTCACCTGGAATTTCCTTTTTTTTGGGGGGGGGGGGGGGGGGAGGGACTCCTGTTTATGGGGGGAGATAGAAATGCTCTGCACTGTGAACATGAGCCTTTTCATTTCTGTTTCTCTGTCAAGTTCGCATAAACCGGGACTGTTCCATTCCTTGGTTGATTCACGTCTGGTGCGAACCCTCAGAAGCTCTTTGCCTTCCTCGCAGTTTTCTGAGACGGGTTAATGAGTTAACGCTGCGGATGATAGTTTTTTATGCCCCGAATGATGGTTCTTGCTTCCTTTTGCTGAATGAAACTCAGCAAGGAATGATGAACAATTTTGCTGTGTTCCTTCCCTTCCGTGAGACGTCCTTTTGTTTTCAGATCAAGTTACGAGGGCACTGGTTACCTCTTGCAGAAGCCGGACTAGGCGATACGTTCATTTAAATTATGTCCTACTCTCAAAGTACTCCAGTCTTGGCTGCACGCAGCACTCAAGCTTCTAAGCCCAAAATGAGCTTCTTCCATTTCCGGATATTTGCACGCTGCGGGGCTTTGTGGGTAGGACGCACCAGGGGGTGCCCCCTACTGGGACAGCTGTACAGGTCATGTCAGACAGATGATGCCGATTGGAGGCGGTCGGTGCATCAATATGCTGGGATACCGCGAGTGCTTTTAGAGCTTTCTTTAAAATCTCAAGAAGTTAGCACTTTTCTGGAGCGTTTTAGTCTCTGGCATTCCCTTTCATCGAACACTTTGTGAGGGGGATCATAGTTGTTTATTTAAGAAGTCTGCTTATATTCAAGGTTTAATACGATTGGAAGCATGCGATGGCTTGGTCAGCTACCTCCCACCCGAGGAAGGAGCGTGGCCTTGTGAAAAGACTCGTTTTGAGGTCCGATGTTGCCCACTCCTACCTGCTGGACCTTGGCCAACTCGCTCAGCCTTCCTGGCTCTCCGTTGTGTGTTCTGAAGAAGAGTCTAGGAAGCCTTGTGTCGAGTCCTAGGTAGAGCTTACTCAGTGGGATTTGAGTTAGGATGCCATATTCTAAAAGTCAGTAGGACTAGGATGAGCTTCCTGTGTTCTTCTGGATGAGTCTATGCAAGTTGCTTGTTTTTGTATTTTAAGTGGGGATTGAAGTTTGAGAGTCACAGGAGGGGGGCTGTTTGGTGGGGTAGCAGATGCACAGTTGCCCTCCTGCTTTTCTCCTCCTATCTGAAGAAGAAAGGGAACCTTCCATGGGTTTGTCTACTCAAGTATGGATGGGTCACCTAATAGATCACTTGAAGTCCATATTACTCTAGCCCCGAGTTTCTCAACATTGGCACTTTTGACATTTGGGGGCTGGATCATTCTCATCCTGTGTGCTGTAGGATGTTTGTCGGCATTCCTGGCCTCTAGCCAACAGACGTGACGACAAAAAAACGTCTCCAGACTTTGCCGAATGCCCTCTGGGGGCATGCGGAGGGTGTGCAAAACCCTGCTCCCTTCCCTAGCCCCCAGGTGGAACCCCCAGGCTAGCCATGATCTTCCTGGGAAGGCCCGGGGACAGCGGTGGGTCCTGTCCCTTGACGTTTTATCATGATACTTTTATTTGAAGCTTTTGGCCTAAAAATATGTGCGGGATGAGGAAAAGGAAGTACAATGTGGCTAAAAAAAAATCTTTAGGAGATTGGCAAGCTCTAGCAGACAAAATTGTTATTTCAAAACGGTTTTAACTTGGCTTGACTTTATTTTTACCAGAAGAAAGGGTATCAGTTAAAAGGTCACTCTGATAGCGATCCCTACATTCTTCTGTCCCCGGTTTCCCAGCAAAAATCCTCCAAGGAAACCAGTAGGAAAGTGGCTCCAGTGCCCAGGAGCTGACATCCCACAGCGTTTTTCCACCATAAGGAGCAGGAGCAGGGAGTTTTACTTCCCACCGGGCAGCGATGCGCAGGGGGCCTCTGCAGAGAGGGCGGTGAGGTGGTGGGTGGGCCCCAGGAAGCAGTCTGGGGTGCAGTGTAGGCGGTGGGTGTTTTAGGGTTTAGGATACTAAAGGGAGGGGAACGTGCTTGTCTTGTTCTCTCTGGTCAGTGTCAAGACCGGACGCGTGAGTTACTTAATGAACGTTTGTTGAATGAATGAATGAATGAATGAGACCTTTGAGCTGCCGGAACTGGGGATTATCAGCTCGGTACCCATCTGGGTCAGGTGCTAAGTGCGTGTAGGGGGCTGGGCGTAGGCAGAAGAGCATGGTGGGGCTGTGCCGCATAAGGGCAGCCGCCACGCCCCAATGCCACCAGCTCGACCACAGACCCGTGTTGGATATTAACCGGGTGCCCGGTGCTGTTCTGAGTGCCTCCCTTGTGTCTCATTTACGCGTAAGTGTTCACACAATTAGGACGTCCATGTGAAACCAGTCAAGTCGTGGAACAAATGCCTTGAAAGATGGGCTTCCCTCGCCTGGTCCTTTTTCCTCCCACGCTGCTCATTTCTGAACTTCAAGCCTTTTCTCCTCTCTGAGGAGTTCCTGTTTTCCAGCACAGGGGGACGCCCTCCCTTCTGCCCCACTTCCCATTGTGCCTTGAGTATTTTGCAGAACCCTCTTCCTCGCTCTTCTCCACTTGGCAGGCTCTCCCCCACAATCGGGCTTTCTCACGGCGGTCCCCCTCTGCGAATGAGCCCTTCCTGCCCCCGGAAGCTCGGGAGAGACCGGGCCAACCTGAATGTTACATTCTTGGGAAGAACTGAAATTTAGGATTTCAAGTATCGAAGCAATTTAAAGCAGATTTGTTTTAAAGGTTTTATTTTTTAAAATTTATTTTTGAGAGAGAGAGAGAGAGAGAGAACCAACATGGGAGGGGCAGAGAGAGAGGGAGAAAGAATCCCAAGCAGGCTCCGCCCTGTTAGCATAGAGTCCGACGTGCGGCTTGGACTCCCGAATCGTGAGATCGTGACCTGAGCTAAACCCAAGAGTCGAACGCTTAACCGACGCAGCCACCCAGGCGCCCCTGTATCGAAGCAATTTATTTTTATTGTTTCTTCAAGCAGTTTAGTGACTCTTTGGCAAACAAAACCATATTGTGACGATAGTGGGGCTTTTCCTGGCTCATAAGAGGCGTGTATTAAGTCTTAGGAAATCTGAAAGCATTATTTTCACATATCAAAACCACACTCACAAAGTAATACTCTTAGAACTCGAGACTATCCCCGGTCCTTAGGACCATCTAAATGTTCTTAATGTACGGAAACAAGGTCTTTTTCAGTAAAAGAAGTTCAATAGGAAACCGAAGATCTACTTAACGGAATAGCCAAGTGCCTTCTTGGAGGTGAACGTGTGAGCATCCACTCCAGTCCACTGGGTGGGGGGCGGCGGGGGAGGTAGCCAGGATGAATCTTCTCTCTGTGATTTTGGATGACTGCTTTCCATCTTCTTTGTTCAGGAGAACCCATAAGTAATGAGCACTTTCATCGAGCTGTCAGTGTGAATGATGAAGATTTGCTGGTTCGAATACTTCAAGGAGGGTGAGAGAAATCTGCCTTAAATTTTTTTTTTTTTAATTTTTAATGCCCAGCAAGTGCGTAAAATCACACTTACTTCCCCCAGATTTTCCATGCCTTCGACATTGCTCCAAAATTGATCTACGGTGACTAGTGTGAGTTCAGCATAGTTAATAAAGATGACCTTTATGCCCCGTGTAAATCCTATATTTTATAATTATCTAATGAAAATTGAAGATGAAAGTGAGAAGTCTGGGTGTCCTGTGTTCTTTCCCAGAAATAATTTCTGACTCTGGCTTCTCTGCCATAGCGTTTAGGCACCTTTCACCCCCAAGGTGCCCATATTTATCTCATTCCTGATGAAATGAAGGAATCATGACATCAGCTGTTTCTTGTTCAAAAGGTTGGTAAAACGCTCAAAGAAAGGTAGCCAATACAGTGGCTACGGATGGGACGTTGAGGCTGCCTCCTAATGCAAAGGGGACAATGTAACTTAGATTCTTTTTGAATATCAATAGTTTGGAGTGTGTGAGAAGACAGGTCATTTGCGAGTAGGGCTCTTAAGTTGGCGAAGAGAGGTATCCCACAAAAAGCCAAGGTTTCTAAACTGGTATTTAAGAGCTCTGCTTTCCTCCTTCAGTGGCAGTGTTTCTTGTCCGTTAGGTGAGATGGGAAAGCATGTCTCCCCCAGCGTAGGCTCGTGGTGGACCAGTGTCTGAACCGAAGACCGTGTCCCCTGCCATAGGCGGGGGAGGTACTCCTCATAGAGTGTCCCATCTGGTGGCATCATGGTTCTGAGTTGAAGGGATTGCTTAGTCTAAGTGAAATCACAACACTTTTGTCTCCTTGTGCCTTTGAATCCTTTTAAAATATTAGGCGGGGCAGTTGAAGACCACAGAAACTTAATGGCCCAGAAGAAATCGGAATTTTTGGGAAAGTGAATCATTGTGGCCACCTGTGCCCTGCGCGAGACATCAGCGGTGACTCTCCAGGGAGCCATGCCAAGCACGTTAATCTCTTTTCTCCGTGTTTTTCCCAAGAAACGTTAAGGTGGATGTTCCCAATAAGTTTGGCTTTACCGCCCTGATGGTCGCTGCCCAGAAAGGATATACCAGGTGGGGCTCCTCCTCTCGTATCTCTGAGTGGTTGAACATTTGTCTTTCCCCAAAGGCTCCGGTCAGAATATGGGCGGGGAGGGAACAGAGCATGCAGGAACCCCACTTCTTCTCCCTTTCCAAAACCGTGCCACGTAAGGGCGGAACAAAAACTAAGCTGTGTTTTTTTCCTTTTTTAACTTTTTATTTATTTATTTTTCTTTTTTTAATGTGTTTTTTTATGCCTTTATGTGTTTTTTCTTTTTGTTTATTTTTGAGAGAGGGAGCATGTGTGTGAGCGAGTGGGGGAGGGGCAGCGAGAGAGAGAGAGAGAGAGAGGGACGGAGGGAGAGAGAGAGAGAGGTGGGGACAGAGGACCCGAAGCGGGCTCTGCGCTGACAGCAGAGAGTCCGATGTGGGGTTCGAACTCACGAACTGTGAGATCGTGACCTGAGCCGAAGTCCGATGCTCAACCGACTGAGTCACCCAGGCGCCCCTCAGCCGTCTTAATCACGAAGTTCTACAACAAGCAGGAGGCCATGTAAAAATGTATAAATCCTATGGTGAGGAAGAGAGGTAGTCACTTAATTGTATTTTCTAATATATTTTATATGTCCCAGGAAAACTGGTTATTGGAATTTGAATTTCGTTAGAAAAAAATAGAGCGGAAGGGTATTGATTCTGAAAAACCAACTTTCCTGATAGGTTGCTAAGATATAATTTTCACTGACACACTCCATTATCTCTATGCCACACAGAAGCATAAATACGAATAGCCTATTTTTCAATCATGTTTATATTGAACTACTTAAGTGCCCATTTTGGAAAAAAAGACCTATATTTTATCAAATGCTGCCGTTCGAAAATCTATTTAAAAGGGTCATTAAAGTGACAGTGGATTAGTTTGATAGTATAATGTGTTTCATGTGATATACTTTGTTTCCAATGAATAATTCATGTGAGGGATAGACGCCCCCTCCCCCTTTTTTTGGTGTTGAAGGGGTAGTTTTCTGGTTTAAAAACCTCCTGCCTTCGAAGCCAGCTGGCCTCTGAAGATAGAGAAGAAAGTATGGAGATGGGTCTTAAATGTAGTGCTGTTTATGGTTAGTGCATCATCGTGGGTTCCTACCCATCAAAGCTACGGATCTAGTGACATTCAAATTTGTCTCCTTTAGGCTTGTGAAAATCCTCGTTTCTAATGGCACGGATGTGAATCTGAAGAACGGGAGTGGCAAGGACAGGTAGGTGGCTAACGTGCCCTGAAATGTCCCCCGACTTGTGTGACTAGGCTTGTGCCCAGCGGGTTTTTGATCCAACCCAAATATTTGATGCAGCTTCTTTCGACAGGACTGTATCCCAACTGAAAGATGTCGATGACAAAGTCTGGCTTGTTCATTGGTATACTCATTCCTTTGTTCAGCAGGGTGTTTATGGGCCACAAATTATAATGCACGTACCCTCAGTCAAAGATACGACCCAAGAACTTTGTGCGGCAAAAGCTCGGGGTGCAGTGTGGGAGAAGTTTTCGAAAAGATCGTGCAACTTGGCAACCTATATTTAGAGAGATAAAAGAATGTTCTACAAGGACTTAAAAATAATCACTGTTCTAGTGATTAGGTTTAATTAACTGATTAATTCTAAGCAACCCGTATTTGTTGGGTAGAACAGCGTGGAAAACGCAAGGGCTTTGCTCAAGGAGCTTAGAGTCACATCAGAGTGCAGCTCAAAGGTGTGTGCCCTACAGACTAGTGTCTAAGGGTGGCTACAAAACACTGGTCACCTTTGGTGGGCCACAAGGGAAAAATAGCAATTCCTAAGCTCAGAAAGCCTAACCCACTACAGGCTATGAACACACACAGTAATGGATTTTAAGGAATGCTTAAAAAAATCCCTTAAAAAGTTAAAAAGTTTTCTGAGTAACCCTTGGGTTAATTTGGAATTAAGCCTTCAACTCAAGGAGTTTGAAAAAGAATAATACCAACTTAAAGAAAATACGGACCTTGAGAGGTAGGAAAGAGGAAAGAAAAGGAGAAGTTGATTAGAAAACTGAAGGATTGTTTGGGGCACCTGGGTGGCTCAGTCACTTGAGCGTCTGTCTGATTCTTGGTTTCGGCTCAGGTCGTGATCCCAGGGTCGTGAGGTTGAGCCCTGCATCGGGCTCTGCGTTGAGTGTGGAGCCTGCTTAAGATTCTCTCTCTCTCTCTCTCTCTCTCTCTCTCTCTCTCTCTCTGTCTCTCTGTCTCTCTGTCTCTCTGTCTCTCTCTCTGCCCTTTCCCTGCTTGTGCTTTCTCTCTAAAAAATAAAGTTAAAAAAAAAGAAAATAGATCGTTGAATAACGTAAGAGCAAAAAAACGCAAGCTGCTGCATAAAAAAAGCTACACGAGAAAATGGACCAATTTATTACCAATCTGAGAAAAATTAGAATTTTGAAATGGTACATAGCCATAGTTAGAAGATCTTTTGGAAATTTAAGAAGAATAAATAGAATTTTGGAAGGGTCCGTAATAGTGGCGATAGAGGAAATCTCCATGTAAAAAGAAGATGGTGCACTTGTGTCTATGGTAGTAGAGTTGAAAATTTCATGGAAACTATCTTTTCGATGATACCTTTTCTGAGAAAATTTACATGACCAAAACCAACCCAAGGCGCAGAAAATCTGCAACAACCAATATCCATGGAAGACATGAGAAAATTATTAAAGGATTACCTCCAGCACAGGTTCTGTGGCTTGACGGTTCTACCCATAAGCTTGCTCAGATTTTAGGTACCGATGACTTTGAACTTTTCCAGAGCAGAGAGGAAGTTGGAAAGTTAGAGGATAACCTGACTGCTAAAGTCTGATACAAAGAAAGCTGCTTATGTGTTGATATGTACACAGGTATTGATGTCTCTTCCATCCCAACTCACAGGATCATGCAGGAGGGTAAGGAGGTCTAGATTAGGAAATTTCTTAATATAATGCTTCCTGTTAGTAGACCAAAGGTGAAAACCTGTGTATGTGTAGACACAAAACAAAAATTTGGTGCAACTCGGCCCCTTTAGTAGTTAAAGTACCTTCGTCTTTATTTATTTTTTTTTTTTTTAAATTTTTTTTTTTTTTCAATGTTTATTTATTTTGGGGACAGAGAGAGACAGAGCGTGAATGGGGGAGGGGCAGAGAGAGAGGGAGACACAGAATCGGAAACAGGCTCCAGGCTCTGAGCCATCAGCCCAGAGCCTGACGCGGGGCTCGAACTCACGGAGTGCGAGATCGTGACCTGGCTGAAGTCGGACACTTAACCGAGTGCGCCACCCAGGCGCCCCAAAGTACCTTCGTCTTTAAAGTGCAGGATGCTGGGGCGCCTGGGTGGTGCAGTCGGTTAAGCGTCCGACTTCAGCTCAGGTCACGATCTTGCGGTCCGTAAGTTCGAGCCCCGCGTCGGGCTCTGGGCTGATGGCTCAGAGCCTGGAGCCTGCTTCCGATTCTGTGTCTCCCTCTCTCTCTGCCCCTCCCCTGTTCATGCTCTGTCTCTCTCTGTCTCAAAAATAAATAAACGTTAAAAAAATTTTTTTTAAAGTGCAGGATGCTTTCAGTCCTGTCATAGTGTCTGGTACATGAGAGGACCTGCCTCTGCTGATGAAGTGAGTCCTTTGATTCCATCACACCAAGTTGTGTATCGTGGAAGATGGTCAGCTGGTATCCTTCTCAGTGTTGACAGATTCCTTTTAAAAATTAGTAGTGAAGCCCACGAGAGTGGGTGAGAGCCAGATAGCTTGATGTCAAATCCAGATTCCTCTATGTTCGGGGCATAGGACGTTGAGCAGATTACTTAACCTCTCTGACCTCAATTTCCCCGTCTACAAGACAAGGGTAACAGAAGTACTTCGAGAATTGTGAGCCCTTAACAAGTCAATATATGAAATGCATAGAACGGTGCTTTGGCATCTGGTAACTACACGTTGTATGTTACTTCGTGATCGGTATTCTGGAACACCGATCAGTCTGGCGAGATATGAAATGGAGTAAGAGTTCTGCACCTTCCTTGCAGTCCCCAAGAGAATCAGCTTTCAAAGACTTGGACTTGATAAGGAGGTTCGGTAAAGGGGCCAGCTACAAGATAAAGGAAGAAATCGTCTTAAATAACAGCAATAACCAGTTAATAAATATAATGAGGGAAGCAAAATAGAATAAAAGTAAGGAAAGTGAGAAATTTGTATTCAAAGCCTATAAAAAGTACTGAGAGATCTAAAAGTTTAAAAAACAGGGACATATTCCATATGCTAGGATGGCAAGACTGAATCCTGTAAAATTTTCAGTTTTTCCCAGATTAATAATATATTGACCCAGTATAGCCTCACAAGGAATTATTCTTGGGAGCCCATCGAAATGGTTTTGTGATTCACCTGGAAGAACGAAGGGACGACAACAGCTATTACCTTTGTTGGAGAGAAGTGTGGAAAGACTTTGGACAGTTATTAAAATGCCTTATAAAGTTATAGTAATTAATGTAGTATGATCCTGGCATAAATACTTGGAAACAAAGATCTATAGTGTGAAATAGAAATAGGTCCCCATGGATGTAAGAAGTTTATGATGATGGGGGCAACACAGCCTAATGAGGAACATGTTAGAAAAAGCTATTTGAAGAAAAATTAAATTCTGGCCTTATATAGCCATGCACCCAAATAAGTTCCAGATGAATTAAGAATTAAATGTAAAGGGCACCTGGGTGGCTCAGTTGGTTAAGCGTCCGACTTTGGCTCAGGTCATGATCTCACAGTTCGTGGATTCGAGCCCCGCATCGGGCTCTGTGCTGACAGCTCAGAGCCTGGAACCTGCTTTGGATTCTGTGTCTCCTTCTCTCTGCCCCTCCCCTGCTTGCACTCTGTCTCTCTCTCTTCCTCTCTCTCTCAAAAATGAATAAACATTAAAAAAAATAATTAAAAAAGAATTAAATGTAAAAAACAGAACCATAGAAAACACAGTATATATCTATCTGATCTTGCAATGGGAAAGGCAAAATCATAGATATAAGTCACTAAGGAGAAGATTAAAAGCACCTGACACATTTAAAAAAAGCTTAATTACAAACTTAAGGGTAGTCTGGGGGAAAGATTTGCAAATACATTATAGAGGAATGACTGGCATCTTTAATCTAGAGAAGATCCACATACAACCTCCCCCCCCCCCCACCAAAGACACACAGTAGAAAAGAGCAGTTTACACAAAACGACAATTCATAGCAGAAAAAATCAAAAAGCTAACATGCAGAACTGCTAGTAATAAAAATTACAAGCGTATTGTCATATTGTTCATTAAAAAATGATAGTAGGGGCGCCTGGGTGGCTCAGTCGGTTGAGGTCAGGCCTCAGCTCAGGTCATGATCTCGTGGTCCGTGGGTTCGCGCCCCACATGGGGCTCACCGCCGTCAGCCTGTCAGTGCAGAGCCTGCTCTGGATCCTCTGTCCCCCCTCTCACTGCCCCTCCGCCGCTTATGTGCACGTGTGTGCTCTCTCTCTCTCTCTGTCTCTCAAAAAATAAAACATTAAAAAAATGTTAGTGGTGCTGGTGTAGGTGAATAAAATGGGCTCATGTTACTTGGATGCAGTTGACCAAAGTGTAAGTTGATGTACTCTCTGTGGAAAGCGATGCATCTAAAGGGAGCCTGAAACAGCTGCATGAAGCATTGGCAGTCTATGTACTCAGCAAGCACCGCGTGCCTTGGGCAGGTCAAGGGCCCACTGGCTCTCTTCCGGGAGTCTCCAAGAAGTGAAGGCCTGCATCAGGATACAGAAGTGTGGACGTCTGGTTCCAGCCCAGCCTAGGCTTGGGTCTCAGAGCTGGACATTGTCTTTATCACTCAGAGACTTTGTAGAATTGCCCTCTTGGGAAGACCTTCCTCCCCCTCACCCCCGCTCAACTCTTTGTTTTGAAAAGTTCAAACATTTAGCGAAGTTGCAAGAATAGTACGAATGAATTTCTATATACTCACCACCTAGGTTTGGCAGTTGTTGAATCTTAGCCGTATTTGCTTCTCTGTCTACATTTTTAGTAGCTTTTAACTATTTTGAGGCTGGTAGGCACCATAACCCTCTACCCCTCAATGTTTCAGTTGCCTAAAAACCAGGCCGTCAACCTGCATAACCTAAGACACTTCACACGAATTCCTCGACATCGCTGATGCTCCCGTCACTTATTCAGGTCTCCTCACGTGCCCTCCGAAAGGTCACCATGGCTTTATTGGGGAGGGGGCTATGGGGCAAGACCATGATCCAACTAAGGCTCATACATTACATCTGGTTGTCCTATCTGCTTAATCTCTTTTATTCTAGACTGGTCCTCCATCCATGTTTTTTCTGGTTTAAATATTTTATTTTTCTCCTAGCAATGACATTTTGAGGAGACCAGACCAGTTATCCTATAGAATGCTCTCTGTTCTTGAGTTGCCTAGTTGTCTCCTACTTGCGGAGGCAGCGTTCACCTTGTTCATTTGTCCCTTTATTGCCAATGAAGTTAAAATTAGGTTTAAAGGCTTGATGAGGTGCAGGTTAACTTTCAGAGCTAGTGTTGTGACTATCCATCAGGAAGGCATGTTGGCCCACAGTTGGTGATTCTAGGTTTGCTCATTTGGTTCAAGTGTAATGACTAAACCTCTTCTTTGTAAAAATGTGGTTTCCCACTGAAATCAGCAAATTATCGACGGGCTGATCATTCGGCATGGTGTGAGTGTCCTGTGCTCCCTTAACCTTTTACCCAACAATTTTGCCATCCACTGATGGTCCTTGCCCAAATCAATTATTTAATTTGGAGTTGCAAAAATGTGACTTCCTGATTCTGTAATTCCTTCCATGTTGATTAGCTGGCAGGCTTCTATGAAAAAGGGCTTTCCCTCATCAACTGAGGATAGTCTACATTTCATTCTACAAAGGCAGACTAAACGTTTAATTATTTTCTTTAAATACCAAGATTTAGAGTATGGAATTGGCCAAATAGCCATCTTCAATAATGTCAAAGGAGTTATTTTCTCCCCTCTATTTTTTTTGAATATCTTCATGGACTCATGGATATTTTTAAATCCAATGTCTTACTCAGTTACAGTGATACTTTATTTTTTTGTAATTGCAATATAATTCACACACTCCTTTAAAATTCGGCACTTAAAGAATGTATTAACAAAGTTGTGCAACCCCTGCCACTGTATAATTCCAGAACATTGTCAATCAGCCCAGAAAGAAGCCCTCTACTCCTTGGCAGTCCCTCCCCACTTCTTCTCCTCCAGCCCCTGGAAACAGCTAATGTTCCGGTTCTATCCCTGTGGGTTTGTCTGTTCTGGGCATTTCACGTAAATGGAATCATAAAATATGCCTTTTGTATCCAACTTATTTAGTGCAACGTCTGAAGGCTTTTTCAGCATTTCACATGAATAACCTTCGGGGCTCTTCTACTCACGTTAGGATTTCTTGGTTTAAGCCGCGGAGGGTGAGATGTGGACCTGAGTTTGGCAACTGCACTTACAGCTAATGCTGCTTCTTCTGTATGTTGCAGTCTGATGCTTGCGTGCTATGCGGGACACCTGGATGTGGTGAAATATCTCCGAAGACACGGTGCTTCTTGGGAGACCAGAGACCTAGGAGGCTGTACGGCTCTGCACTGGGCCGCGGACGGAGGCCACTGCAACGTGATCGAGTGGATGATAAAAGATGGCTGTGAGGTACGGGATCTTCCTTGTCAACTACACCTGTGTCCTTAAGACCTTGAAACTCTGTTCCACAGGGTTGAGGAGAAGCAGAGTCTTATGTGGATGCCCTTGATTAGTTCAACTTAAAAATGCTGCAGAAAGTTCTCCGACTTCTCAGTGAGAAGGTTCCGGAAGCCTTGGGAAAAGAGATCACCGTAGAATTGATAGGATAGTGAAGCTTCAGATTGTCATGGAGGTTTGTCTTGTGTAGGAAAAAACAAAACAAAACAACTGATGAATCCAGAGCTGGACTTGACCATGCTTCCATTTTGGTTGTTCCTTTGTTCATTCGGTCATTATCTGTTCACTCGGTCTGTCAGCAAAACTTTACTGAGCACCTGCCACATACTGGAGACTCTCTTAGGTGCCGTAGACACAGGATGTCAAGAACCCTCGGGGCGCCTGGGTGGCGCAGTCGGTTAAGCTGCTATTCAGCCAGGTCAACAAGCTGCTGTCCTGAGTTCGAGCCCCGCATCAGGCTCTGGGCTGATGGCCCGGAGTCGAGCCTGCCTCATTCTCTGTGTCTCCTCTCTCTCTCTGCCCTCCCGTCATGCTCTGTCTCTCTCTGTCCCAAAAATAAATAAACGTTGAAAAAAAAAAAAAAAAAGAACCCTCACAGCCATAGGGCTCTTTGTTGCCCTTGGAATTAGACTGTCTTTATTCTTGGGTTGCTTTAAAGATTCTTCATCACAAAACCCTTCCAGAGAGCAAAGGGATCATGTCACAAGCAGAGCATTTCAGCTCCTAGGGCCTTTACCTTGAAGCAGACGGGTGGGTATCCTTCTGGTATTTTCATGTTATCAGAAAGTACAAATTTGGTTTAGCAAATAGGATCGGCATTGTTTGGACTTCTGTAGCTGTTTGAAGGTCAAGAAGAAGGATTAGCTCAATCATGGTGATTGCTGATAACTTTGAGAACTTTAGCACAAGACTGGAAAGAAGTTAGATAAAAATTTCAAGGCCCGGAAGTAAGGAATCGTGGCAAACAAAATGCTGTCCTCACTGAGATTGCCAGATGGCGGAGAGCACTGAGAACTGAAACCGTTGACCTGGAAAATAAACCCAAACTGGGAAAAGTCATGTCTCTTGGAAGATGTGGGCGGATTTGTTCTAGCTTGTCCCTGAAGTGTGTTTGAGGGAAGCCCAGGCCTAATTGTGGGGTCTCACTGGCCCCTGCTGATGCCTTCAGCGGCCTGAGGAAGGGGCCCCTTGAAGGAAAAACTTCAGTCGTTAAGGTAATTCCTTTTTATTACGTTTCTTGTTATCTTTGTTTTAGAAAGCTGCACAAGAGGTCAGAAGGATTAGCCTGTGGGCCTCGGTGGCAGGGCCGGGTCCCACCTGCCTTGTGTGGTAGTGAGAACCTCAGTCTCCTCGTTTGGTTTATGATGAACTCTGCTCATGCTTTGGTCCCAGTAAAAGTCTGTAGTTAAAAATGGAGGTTGACCTTTGCTGAAAGAAGGGCGTGTCTCCGCCATGATCCTTTAAATACTATAGTTTTGGAAACATAGACTTTCTGGGCTTCAGATACGAGCACACTTATTGGGGGTAAATTCTCTTTCCGTAGTGCTGGAGTTACATGAATGTGTCCACTGAAGATCTCTACGTGGCTGGCGGGGGGCGGGTAGATGATGTCAACATGAGTGCCTCCGTGTTTTTGCCAGAGGGGTCACCCATTGTTTGGGTGACTTGGCTACAGGAGGGATCTGGGAGCCAAGCAGGGCATTGGGGCCACCCTTCTGGAATATGATGATTTTATACCAACAGCAGCTGACTTGTGTGGGGAACCATCTCCGCATTTAATGAGCCATGTGACCTCGGGAAAGGCGTTTGACTTCTCGGAGATTTGGTTTCATCATTTGTAAAGCATCAATAAAAGCGCCTACCCCTAGTTAACCCTCAGAACCAAACGAGAAAACGTGGGTCAACGTTCACCGGAAGACCGCATAAAGCACGATGTAAAACAAGGCGATTATTTTATTATTTAAACATAATGGAGTCTGTTGCTCCAAGGTTATTTGTTATTTGCATGACAAAGAGGTGCAAATCCTAATGATGTTGCAGAGGATAATCTCATACATACAAATAACCTGCAGCGTTCCCAGGACTTACTGGCAGTTTCTGGTTATGTTATTCCATTCTAGTGTTTTACTAACATCTTTGTGTAATCCTTCCGTAACACAGTTAGGGGTGTTTGTGCGTGTCTGTGCACACACACACACATTTTTTTTTTTTTAATGTTTATTTTTGAGAGGGGGCGGGGAGAGGGTGGGGGAGGGGCAGAGAGAGAAGGAGACACAGAATCCGAAGCAGGCTCCAGGCTCGGAGCTGTCCGCAGAGAGGTCCGTGTGGGACTCGAACTCACGGTGAGATCATGACCTGAGCCAAAAAGTCTGACGCTTCACCGACTGAGCCACCCAGGCGCCCCAGGGGCGCTTCATTTTTTCTATTCCGTCTTTCAACCATTTGAACGAAATGTAGATGAAGATACCAGTGTGAGGTCCCGGGGCCTCCCCGCACCCTGTACAGGTGCCTGAACACAGCACCTCACTGCATGTGAGTGTGCGGTCTGTGGGCACGGTCCCCTTGCTCCTCCCCGTGTCTCGGTCCTCACCAGCTCTCCAACTCGGGGGCAGGGGGGTTGGGTCAGTCACCATTCCTTTGTAAGTTTCTGATGAATACTTTTAGGGAAAAGAGACTGGACTCAGGGCAGCTCTTCCTCTGGCATAAAGGTAGACTCTGCGGACACGGGCTCGGGATGGACCCCGCTCATGAGGGTGTCTGCGGTCTCAGGAAACCAGAAGGTAGCCTCTCTGCTGATCGAAGCGGGAGCGGATGTGAACATGAAGGATAAAGACGGAAAGACCCCTCTAATGGTATGCCACCCTTCAGAAAACAGCCCGGCTTTGTGTGCGCCATTGGGAGGAGAGCCGCTTCTGTAATTAGCCAATTCTGGTGAATTCGGCCGTGCGCGAGCCCTGGGCCTTGGCTGCCTGTATGTATTCCCCACCGGCCTGTAGTGAAGGCATGACAAGGTCGCTACAGTAGTTTTGTTGTCTTCCTACAACTCTTTCCTTAAGGATTACCAGCCCCAGCCCCCTGGGCCTTTGCAGGGTCCCAACAGATCTGTTAAAGCAAAGGACGTGCTGCTTTCTGTGCTGGTCCCGCCTGGCGTTTCTCTCTCGTGTCATCTTCTTGGGGAGAAAGGCAGACTCTGCTTCCGTGTCCCTGGCGCTCACCTTCGCCCCAAAGCTGCGGTGGCCCTGGCTGGCTCTGCCTTCCGGAGAAATCGGCTGGCCGATTTTCCGGGCCCGCCTGCACGGGGTCCACCCTGACCGCCGGCCGCATCCTCCGCAGGGAGGGCGGCCTCTCTCACACCCCGCTGACTTTTGTTTCTCAGGTGGCCGTGTTGAATAATCACGAGGAGTTAGTCCAGTTACTTCTTGATAAAGGGGCAGACGCAAGTGTAAAAAATGAGGTAAATAACTCCTTCTTTATCTAAAGTCTTTCCCTGGAGGAGAAATATATACATATACATGCATATATACCTATATACGTATATACATATGTATATACGTGCACATATATATATACGTATATATGTACACGTATATACGTATATACACACACACACACACATGCATATGTATAATCTTTGTTGTTTTCACTTTCAGTTCGGCAAAGGTGTCCTAGAAATGGCCAGAGTTTTTGACAGACAGGTTGGGATGCTCTTGGTGATTTTCAAGGCTAATTTTGTGGTACTTTTAACATAAAAGAGCCCCGGACCCTTGGATTACCTTCATCTGTTTTTGTTTCTCTAGAACGTGGTCTCCTTATTAGAAGAAAGGAAAAGAAAACAAATGGCGAAGAAGCCCTCTGTCTGCTGAGCCGGGCCCCACGTAGCCCGACAGCCCCGGGGAAACAACGTCCCACGTTTGACTATTTGATTTTATTTCTTTGATTGGTTTGAGTTTTTTTATTTGATTATTTATTTTCGTTGAAGGTTCACCGTGACTTTTGTAACGTACAACTGTTTCCCACTTTGAAATACATCTTTTTACCTACGCACGCGGGCCTGTGGTGTCCTCACTGGGTGTCTCCGGCACGGGGATGTTTTCTTGCACTTGGGCCTTTTGGAGTGAGACACGAAACAAAATATTTATGCACTGGAGCTGCACAAACATACATGGATCTCCCACTTTCCGCTCCCCCCCCCCCCCCCAAGGCTGTCCTCTGAGCCGCTCCGGGACCTTGTGGAAATTCTTCCCCTCATGTGTTTTCAATTATGACCTCCCCTCCCGACTCCGGGCCTTCCAGGCTGCGTGGTCAGGCTGGTGTTCCCTCCTGGAGGGACAGCTCCTCCCGAAAGCCCAGGAGGCCACGTGCAAAGCTTTCTCCTCAGCTGTTGGCCTCACATCAAAGCACAAAATCCATATTTCAAGACTCCAATTCCGCTCTATTAGAGGTGTTTGGTGGAGGGTCAGTCTGTTTTAGAACAGACCTGTCTGAGAATGTGTTTGCATATACTTCGGCCCTGACAATGAAAGGCCCAGCCTGCTGGCACAGTGACGCCTCTGCCGAAGAGAAGCGTCTTACGTTCCGCCTTCAGAGCAGCAGAAGGGTTTTTGATGCCGATCACGCGGTTGGGAGACCAGTAGGAATGAACCAGAGGTAGGTGTGCCGGTTGGGAGCTTAGGCACGCGTGCGCGGGAGCTTGAACGTGGCAGACACACACGCGAAGCGGGCCAAGTGGGCTAGCGGACCGCGTGCGTTTTGTGGCTCCGGGGACAAGTGGGTTAACTCAGCCCCGTGAGAAGGCCAGCTACGAAGGTCTGCCCAGGAGTGGAATTTTCTCTGTAAGGAAACACCGATGAAAAGGTAATTAAAGCTCTAAAGCTTTGGGGGGAAGGGCACAGAGAAAAAGCGCAGTTTTCTTGATGTTGGCAATGCTCAGCTTTATTCCACACAGTTTCTAGAATATCCACCTCAGGAATTGGATTCGTGGGTCATAGATCGTCCCTCTCCTTACGTACTTCATCAGTGTTTTACCTTTTGTTACAAAAGCACATTCCTTTAAATTTGCCAGGTTAACTTTTTATTTTTTAGAGAAATCGTGAGCTGGGGAGAGAGAGGGAGAGAGAAAGGGAGGGGGAGAATCTCACAGGCTTCATGCTCTGTGCAGAGCCTGATGAGGGACTTGATCCCACGACCCCAGGATTATGACTTGAGCCAAAATTAAGGGTCAGACGCTCAACCGATAAAGCCACCCAGGCGCCCCTGGATTAACTTTTTAAATCTCTCTCAAAAATCAGAGCACAGAGTCACAACTCTCCCAAGGCCCCCGCATTTCGCCCCCAGGATCGGTGTTGAAATTCATCTCCATTTCGTTTCTCAGTCTGCCGTAGATCATAGTCACGAGCCCCCTCTGGGGCAAGAGTACGCATCCCTTCTTACTGACAAAACCTTGGCAACATCGTCCCATCTTCCTCACAGAAGCCTTGGCCACATAATGGGGGGACTTTGGTCGATGAGATGTTAACGGAAATGGCTCCTGCCCCTCTGAGCAGAAGTTTAAAGAATCTCCACGTCTCTCTTCTGCCAGGAGACCAGCTGTGACTCAGAGGGAGGCTGCACCATCAGCCCAGGGCCCCAAGGAGAGCAGAGCTGGCGCAGAGATGGGCGTGACCCGTGCGTAAGCAATAATCCTTGGGGTAAGTCACCGAAACTGACGGGTGGTTTCTTATCCCAGTGTAACTTAGCCGAAAATGACTGCTTCCGGGATCCTGTCATACACTTGTGAGTTTAATTTTCCACAAATGACATTTGCATCTCTCAAGCCCTATGGTTTCTGGCCTTACTCAGATTCTTAAAAATTCAGGAATAGAAACTAAATCTTCTCAAACGTCTTTTCAGCGTCTCTGGTAACCCTAATAAGGCGTATTTCCCTGAAGTCTGTCAATTTGGTGACTTGATTAGATCTTAAAGGATGGAACCATCCTTCTTAAAATAATCTCACTGGAGATTGCAGTGGACTGCTGGATTCTTCTTGCTGGTGCTTTGTGTCTTTGCTTCTTATTTTTTTTCTTTAATGAGATTAGTGACTTATCTTGTGTTTTAATTTTCCCAAAGAAGCAACATATGGCTTGTGTTCCGCCATTTGGAATTTATTTTGTGGCTTAACATACAAAATTTTATATATATATATATATATATATATATATATATATATGAAATTTAATATATATAGCATAATATATATTATATAATGTATACATAATAGTTTTATGTATGGTTCTGTGTAAATCTAGTTTTCCAGAAGCTAATTTTGAAAGAAGGCATAATCTTATATGCTCAAGTATCCCACTTGATATCAGTTTGATGACATTATTAACTGAGGTCTTCCAGGTACTTATTTTTGCCTCACTGGCTTTTGATAGTAGAAAGGTGGAAATAAAAGAGAGACCCTTGTTACCATTCTCTGATCTATTTTTCTTGTATTTCTTCAGTTCTTTTGAAGTTGGACCCTATTTTTCAAATATTCATAAATTTCCATTAAACTTAGGTTTTCCTTCTGGGTAAGTCTGATGTCCACATTTCTACCCCTCAAGATGCTTGTGTTTTTGAATTTCTCCCTTTGTAAATAAGGTGATCTAAAAAAATTATTTTGCTCGGTTATAATAATTTGACATTAAAAAAACGAGTGTGTCCTGTCCTCCTCTGTGTCTGTTTAAAGACACCTTTCTTGTGCCATCACCTGACTGGCTTGTGTAGACTGGCACCTGTCCCCTGACCCCTCACCACTCATTTTAGTGTCTTATGTACTGTTCCAGAATTTCAGCTTGGAAGGGGTGAGAGATTATAGACACATTTTTTTAAACTTTATTTTAGAGAACAAGAGCAGGGAGGGGCAGAGGGAGAGAGGATCTGAAGGGTTCGCACTGACAGCAGTGAGCCCGAATGTGGGGCTCGGAATCACTTAACCTTGAGAGATCAGGACCCACCCTGACGCTGGACGCCCCCCCCAGCTGACCCACGCAGGTGCCCCTAGTCACGCTCACACAAGGGCTTTTCTTCCCCATTTTTGCAACGCTGTCAGTAACGAGACACACGCCTTACGCTTACTATATACCATTTATTGATATATAATATTCTTTAACAAGAACTTTTTCTATTTGAAATAGCAGGTTGTCACCTGTAGAGCCCCAGCATGAGTAACCAAAATAAAAAAGCAAATAGACTGTAACATAAAAAGGTATGTGGAAAAAGTTAGGCAAACTCAAGCATTATAAAATGGACGGCTAATTATGAAATTAATGACTGGTTTGTTGAGAAGCCGGTAACTTTGTACTGTGCCATTACCTATAGCCACGAAGCTAAGATCTTGATTCTAACGGGTAAAAGCCACGGCCTTCCTGACATCTCCAATCTGACCTAAGAGAAGGTCAGAGAACAATCTATTCTGCCATCGCTTGTCCTGCTGGGACTGTTCGAGGGTTTTCTGTCTTTCCCATTTGATGCTTTTTTTTCCCCATCACTACCCTACTTGGTACTTGCTTATAGGCCATGAACATAGTTTTTTCGTTTCCTTGTGAAACTAAAAAGACTGGGCATTTATTATTTTTTTGCCTGGATTTGAACTGTGCTTCAACTGAGGACTGAATTATTTTTATGGAAGGAGACCCAATGGGGAGGGGGAGGGGGGGGAGCCTAGAAGACATGTTTTTTGCAGACGATGTGGAAGGTCAGGGGTGGGTTCCATTCAACCTGAAAGATATCGTAATCCACTGAGCACTTTCAGTGTGTAAATCTCCTGGCTGTCACTGCCCACGATGGACTTATTGTCGCGATTCTATACGCGACTGCTTCTTCTCCCAGGTTTTCCTCACATGCAACACTCTTATGGCTGGACTGCTGCCACTGCTGTCCCAAGAGTAAAGAGGGGATTTTCATCCACGCGGAGGTAGATTGCTTCTGGAAGCATCCCCAGTGCCCGAACTGGTTCTTAGCCTGCCTGTACCACTCTTTCTTAGAGAGTGTTACTCAGACGCTAGAGGTTCCAAAGTAGGTTTTAAAGGGACAGATGTCAACAGGGACTGGAGAGGGTGCCCAGGGAACGGCCATCCTAGACAGACGGATGTTCTGTGGCACGATGTTGCCTGGAAGGGGACTCTTGCTGGGTTCAGAGCTGGGGCATAGCTGGTGGGCTTGTGGCCAGGCTGACACTCTGGGAGAAGGCTGAGCTCAGGGGGGGTGCAGTGATTATTGAAAGTGTCACGGTCCTCGCTTTGGGCCACCTAAAGTAGCTATGACCACAGCACCTGTCACCTTGAGGGTCCTCTGAAAAGAGGCTTGCCTCTAAGTGATGAGAAGCAAACAGACATGAGCCTCTGCCCTATGATGTGTTCACGGGCCTGCCCTGAGTCATGGGAGGAACTGCAGCAGCCTAGGGTCAGCCTCCTGGGGTGGGGCGGGGCCAAGGAACAATGGTACCTGCACTGTCCCCCACCACAGCCATAATGTACATGAAGTCTGCAGCTTGAGAATCACGCCTGAGGGTCAGCAGCTGGCTGCTGAGACTCTGGGAGGGTCGGTGGTAAGGACGCTTATCTACAATAATTTGTATTAGCTGGGGTCCCACCGAGCAGTGAGGAGGGATTCCTGCCTGGGCCGCTGCTCCAGAACACTGGGAGGGAGCCCGCTTCAGCACACGCTTTCTTTACAGCGGAAATCAGCCTCACGCAGGAAAGTGTGCGAGGTTTGCACGAGAAGGCTGGGCGTCTTCCTGCCCAGGCATTGGCCCTTTCCGCTGTCAGGGTCCCATTGGCCAGAATGCCAGTAAACATGAACGGAGAGACGGCAGGAGGGGGCCGGGCCTTCCTCATAGCTGGCCCAGCACCAGGGGATC